GAATCAGAATCAGAGCAGCAGTGTGGAGAGATCTGCACTGAAAAGGAGGCTGCACTATGTATGTAAGATGGGGAGAGAGTTATATGTTGAGAAAAATATAAAGGGGTTAAACTCTGGAAACAGATGGAGAGTAGTGAGAGGTCTTATAGGAAGATGTGAGGAGATGTAGCGAGATACAAAAATGTGTTAGTTCTCCAACTGCCTGGGATTAGGGCTTACACATACTGCTTTAATCTCTGGCACATACAGCACCACATGACCAGCACCATGCAACAGGCATCTATAGTGGATACTGCAGATGTGTGTGTGTAGGTTTACATACATAAACTCAACAATAGGCTTAATATATATTAACACCCACAGTTGTTGTAGTAAATTAAGCATCAGAATGTGTATTAGAGGAAGTGACAGTTCACAAGATCATTTGTATCAAAGCCTCATATACTGCAGTTTTAATTTATTATTAATTTATTTGTAGGAGTATATATCACCATATAATCCTTTCTCATAGTAGGGGTTGCAATGAAGCTGAGTAATATTGAAAGCAAAAGAAAGAGGAAGAAGAAAGAATGAAATTAAGGAAGTCTTGTACAGTAACATTTGCCTAAAAAAGAAAAAAAAAGGTTCCTTTTTTCAGATAGGATTTTCACCAAAAGACACCTATATTTATGTCATGTTAGAAACATTGTGGTTTGAAATTCCTCTTCTGTGGTGCCATCTGGTGGTTTTATGAGTACTGACACTGGTAGACAGTAATCCACACTTTTACTTTCTTACTTCCCTACCTCTCCTAATGAACAAGCTAAAAGCAATGACTAATTCTAATATTCTATATTCTAATAAATTTAACCAAACCAGTTCAAATGTATTATTCTATATCAGAATGTCATACATGTCATAAAGATTTAAATAAAATATGATATTTATAAAATATATATATAAATTTGATGGTGTACAAATTAATTTTAAAAAAGTATTCTCCACCAGAGTTACAGATCATTAACTTACAGACCATAATGTAAGTAGAATAATAAAACATAATATAAATATATAATATAATTAAACACCTGTTGTTAAATAAAATGTGATTTAAAAACTACAGCTTCTACAGCTTGTGAAAAATGCCTTAGAGTTTGAACTTTTTTTGTTATCCAAAAGACATCAATCTTTTTTCACTTTCACTGTAGTTTGTTGTATGTCCCCCTTTCCAATATTTATACGAGTACTTTCTTCATTCTTACACATCCCTCTCTTTACACTTTATACTATCTGTCCCACTGTTTCTCCCTTTCTTTGTCATTTAAAATGTCCGGAGTAATATTAATACTTTGCCTCTACTTCTCCCACTTCAAGATCGCACTCCCATGGCCTGTCAAAATAACTCTTTCCGTCCAATCTGAAATGCCAGGGATTAAACATGCAGCCAATTCTCCATCCATAATTCTACCATCCCCTCCCCCTTTCTGTCTCTCTCTCT